TGTGTGTGTGTGTGTTTGAGAGTGTGTGTGTGTGTGTGTGTGAGTGTGTGTGTGTGTGTGTGCATGTGAGAGTGTGTTTGTGTGTGTGTGTGTGTGTGCATGTGAGAGTGTGTTTGTGTGTGAGAGAGAAAGTGTGTGTATGTGTGTGTGTGTTTGAGAGTGTGTGTGTGTGTGTGTGTGTGTGAGTGTGTTTGTGTGTGTGTGTGAAAGAGAAAGTGTGTGTATGTGTGTGTGTGTGTGAGTGTCTGAGTGTGTGTGTGCGTTTGAGAGTGTGTGTGTGTGAGTGTCTTGAGTGAGTGTCACACACACACACACACACACACAATGTCTCACACACACACACACACACACACACAATCTCTCTCTCTCACACACACACACACACACACACACAATCTCTCTCTCACACACACACACACACACACACACACACTGTATTTATCAGGACAGAAGGTACGATTTCTCTGACAATTAATGTCAAAACATGCATGAAGTCCTGAATGAGAGAGGAACGTGAGCATGTTTATCTGTAAAACACATTTCACAATTAAAAATAATGTTTATAATGAAAGCCACTATAATTTATGCAAGTTTTACACTTGTATTCTTCAGTCCTGTGTTGAATGCAGTTAGATGTGGAATGAGAGGAACTAAAATACAGGTTTGAAGTTTGATTCATTTCAGTGACTCAGTTCAAACTGTCCATTTAACGAACTGATTCAGAACTCTGATTCTACTGTTTGTGTTATTAATGTTCAAGTTCCATTATCTCTGTGTATTTTACTGTAAATATTGCTGTCTATGACTATGTATTGTTTTAAAGGTGCATATAAGTGAAAACGATTAAATATGATTCATGAGAGTGTTCAGACAGATGATTCAATAGAGTCACTCATTTAAACTTCAGCAGCTGATCATTTTGATTCAGTTCAGTGAATCAAACTCTTTTATATTTGTATTTGTGTTCGGGTCAACTTGAAGTATTTGTTGTGGAGTGTTTATAATGTTTGTGAGTGTTTCATTTACCCGTATTTTTGGAACGTGATACTGAAATGTGACTTCTCTGTGTTTTTGCTCTCAATAATGCAATCCTGAGCTGGTGCGACAGTTCAGTTTAAAAGTATTTTCTGAAGATCCAGCAGTTCAGAGACATGAAATCAAGTAAATGAAGTCCTGACGGCACCGGGCTGACCTGAGCCGGATCCACGTCGTTCAGCATCACGACAGACGAGCAGTGATAGTCCAGAACCAGCCGCCAGAAGTCCTTGACTGTGTTTGGCAAAGGATGCTGGGTAACGATGAACGCAGACGGCTGCTTGTAGCTCTGAAAGAAAGAGACGAAGAGCGCGAGATAGTCATCATCACTTCCAGTTATATCAAGAATACTTATGATGAAGCATATGTTTGTTGTGCTGCATTTAGTTATGCAATCCATTTTAAATAATAATAATAAAAAAGGAATCTCTATATTAAACTAATGAGAATAAAAAAGAGATCCATGCATTTGCATTAAAAATATATATATACAATTTACATTTCACAATGTTTACACACCGGAGCGACGAGACAAACACATTAAAACCCATTACAAACCAGGCTTTTGTAGCATCCAGTGGTGACATAATTACTGATTATAGTGACTTATACTCAATGGCTTGAGTGAGCGGAGGCTGGCGGATTCAACGAAGGAGGCTTGTGGCAAGCACATGTGACGATATTTCCTCAGCGACAAGCACGGATCAGCTCCAGGCATGACGAAATCTGCAATCATGCAAATCTTCCCACATAGTGATGTAGACATGTGGGGCGTGTTAGAACGAGGCGTTTTAGGGGGGCGTGGCTGACTCTTAACTTTTATAAAGAATATCTCTTTGGATTTGAGACTTTAGTCTTTGCAACTTTACAGATCTTCTTTATGCACCAAGAGCTTGTAACACTCCAAAGAGAAAGGAAAAATTGAAATAGCATCATATGACCCCTTTAAATAAGGAAATAAAAATTAAATAATTTAAAAAATATTAATATGAATATTTAATTTTACTTAAAATTAAATAATGTTTAATTATTAATATACATTTTAAATTAATATAAATATGCCATTAATGTAATTAAGAAAATGAAAAACATTTTTTAAATTATTAATATACAATTTTAATTATTGATATAAATGTTAAATTAATATAAATATGTAAATATAATATACATATAATAACTGTAAATTAACACAAATATGTTATTAATATAATTAAGAAAATTAAATTAAGTATTAAATTAAGTAAATTATTAATATCAAATTTTAATTAAAATTATATTATTAATAAACATTATTTAAATGTTAACGTAAAATAAATATGCAAACTAAAATTTTTTTTTTTAATATAAGGAAATGAAAATTGAATAAAAAAAAATAAAAAAAATAATATGTTTGATTTGAAATGTTTCTCGAGCAGCAGATCAGCATATTATACTGATTTCTGAAGATCATGTGACACTGAAGACTGGAGGAATGATGCTGTTAAGTAAATTATTAATATCAAATTTTAATTAAAATTATATTATTAATAAACATTATTTAAATGTTAACGTAAAATAAATATGCAAACTAAAATTTTTTTTTTTAATATAAGGAAATGAAAATTGAATAAAAAAAAATAAAATAAATAATATGTTTGATTTGAAATGTTTCTCGAGCAGCAGATCAGCATATTATACTGATTTCTGAAGATCATGTGACACTGAAGACTGGAGGAATGATGCTGAAAATACAGCTGCGCATCACAGAAATACATTACAGTTTAACAGATACTCACAGAGAACACTGTTATTTTAAATAGTACAAATATTTCACAATTTTTACTGTATTTTTGATCAAAGAAATGCAGTCTTGCTGAGCAGAAGAGACTCTTTCAAAGACACCCCATACTCCTGAATGGTGCAGTACTGCAGGGTTGGTCACATACTGCTGTATAATGAATCAGTTCTAGTTTTCTGCAGAAATAAATGCTTGATTTCCTCCATCGCTGTGCTGGTTTTCTCCCTTCATCTGTTTTGTATTCATGGAATTTGTCAGTGTTGCAAATGCAGATGCCGCTGTGATTGCACTCATTTGTTTCACGAGAGACTTTGACGGCATAAAACAGAAAGAACATCAAACTTTATTAGCAGCGAGTCGTCAGCGTTTCGCTGGAATCACTCAAACGTTGTGGAGCGCACACGTTTGATGGAAATCACTGCTGAAGTGACATTTCCAGAGCATCTTGGCCTGTCGCTTCTGACGGGGTCAGCGCATCTCTGATTAGGCGTCTACTGTGACCTCTGACCTTTCCTGTGGCACGCAATCAGCAGCGGAGCTCTAATGAGTGTGTCGTCCCAAATGATTAGTGATGGTTCAAACACGCACGTGAAAAGGTAACGTATGCCCTTCGGGTGTCAAAGCGTGCCAAAATAACACGCGCACACGCACACAAACACAAACACACTTGCACGCACGCACGCACACACACACACACACACACACACACACACACACACA